TCTATACGGTGTTCACTTGTGCCAGTTGAGAAACAGTAGCATTCACTTGAAAGCTGTAGTGGACAAAGCAAAGTAATTAGGTTGAGTTTCTTATTACCTACAGCCTTCTAGGTAGGTGCAGCAGCCGCTACCTCTGCAGGATTTTACCAGCTCTTCCGTGGGTCAGAGCAATGGCACAGGTGCGAGCCCCAGCTGTGGCAGCCTGTAGATGTCCAGAAACACTTCTCAAGGTGCCACAGTCCTACACACCTCTGGTCATATTTGCCTAAGCTGTGGGACTTTCCTAATTTGCGTGGGAGGGCTAAGCCTCCAGCCCCCCATGGTGGCACTGGGGAGTGGACTAAGCATTCCTGCAAGGTGACCTTGAATGGAATCCAACATTTATCACTAGTGGAAGGGGAGTGACTGCACGATTAGGGGTGCTCTGGGTAAGTTGTGTAGATGGGGACTGAGATTTAAAAAAATAACATCCTATTTATTTTCCCACAATTCTAGAATCTACTTATACATTTGAGGTGTGATATCATTGGCTGTTAACTGACATAGATTACCTGGCTGTTGCGTTTGCGTGCTGGTGAAAACCCTGGACATGTCTTGTTTCTCCTGACCCTTTACATAGAGATAATTGACTTGATGACCCATCGATCCTCCCGGCCTACCTGTGAATTAGGTATCATCATCCTGTGAGTTCCTGTTCCTCCCCACGTGTTGAGGGAGGGACCTGGTGGGCGGTGATTGGATTATGGGGGCAGCTTCCCCCATGCGGTTCTCATGATAGTGAGTGAGTTCTCATGAAATTTGATGGTTTTAAAAGTTGCATTTCCTCCTCTGCTCTCTCTGTCTCCTGCTACCGTGTAAGACATGCCCTGCCTCCCCTTTGCCTTCCACCATGATTCTGCGTTTCCTGTGGTCTCCCAGGAACAGTATGTCGAACAGCGAGTGAAATAAATCTCCTTTCTTTATAAATTACCCGGTCTCAGGCAGTATCTTTATAGCAGTGTGAGAACGGGCTAATAAAAATACCCACCCCCAGATTAGAACTATGTGAAAGATTGAGAGTCAAGAAACTGCAGTCCAGTCTAGACCACAGTGTGGCCTCTTTTTGGGGGGTCTGTGACCCTTTTGGGATAAAATGGAAATTTTTACGAATCTGTGCACAAGCGCATTTTTAAAAAGACAAGGCTGGAACTTTTATCACTTTCTCAGAAATGTGTGCCACAGGCTGCTGCTCTGGAGGGACTTGGTAGCAGATTTTTATAGTAAGAACTGTTGAAAAAGATTTCCCAAGGAAGAAGACCCTGCATTTGGCAGCTGATAAGAATAGCTAAGTTTGACAATGCTTCCAAAGCCTTGGCTCTCGGTGTCAGGCAGGATGCAGGCACTTCTGATGCTGGTGGTGGGAAAGTACGTTGGGAAGACAGTTTTGGCGAATGTTAATCTTATTGTTTGTATAAAGTGTTTGGCATGAATCTCTCGAAAGGCATGTGTGCAGACCCCATCTTCTCAGCTGCATTTTGGTTTCCTTCTCCATGTCCCTCCAGGCCTAGCGCAGTATCTCAGCATTGTCATGTAGAACCTATGCTCACAAGCGTCTGCTGATTGACTGCTTGGTTTCTAAGGTCAAAGTGGAAATTTGAAGGTGAATCTAGATTTGTTCATCTGCAGATGGTGGAACCTGGTGATTATGATTACGCCAGGAACTCAGCTCAGAGCTCTTGAAAGGGAGACAAGAAGTAAATTACCCACTACAGAAGCGGGTCTGGCCACTAGAGAGGTGTTTCTGTGAACACGTTTATGAAAAGGTGTGGTGGACTTGGGGGCAGTCAGCGTTCCACACACTGAGGGAAGGCCGTTGCACTTTCAGCGCTTGGTGTGGGTTGAGCGATAAAGAAACCAAGTCTAGTGCCCGCCACGTGGTCAGCCTCGCTGGCCGAGGAGGCGGTGAGAGAGGGCTGACTCGTGCTCTGGTTTGCCCAGGCCGGTGTGGTCCATGCTGTGACCTGGGTGAAATTACTGATGGTGCTCCCGTGTACCTTCCAGCACATCCTGACATGGATGATGAATTCTGTGGACAGCCAGCTGTGAGGAGATGGCATGTTGAGAGCTCGCTCGCCATTGCCACCTAGTTGTAGAAAAACAGGGCAGATTCTTGGGTGCTGAGAAATGCTGAAGAAATGAAAAGGCAAGAGCCAGAGTTTGGACGAATTTAGTACAAAACATAAAGATGCTCAAAGAGACAAGTGGGTGGTTAACGCGATGGCAGGCTGTGTGGCATCAATGCACTTTTTCTAGGCGCCAGGTCCTCCACATACCTTAAGGTCAGGAGGGGAAGCCCGTTGTTCTTGGACAGGTGAGGTGGGAGCTGCGAGTGTCCTGAGGAGAGGGGTGGACAGGCCACTCACGACTGTGCACGTGCTTCAGGTCAGGACAGCCCCCGCCCGCCCTGTGTCCCCCTCTATGCTGGTCCAAGTGCACAGAGACCTCTGCCACTTGGCTTCTGCCACTGCATGGTGAATCACCTGCCGAGGTTCACTGGCCACCCTAGGCAAAAAAGACAGCAGAGTGCCCAGTGTCACTAGCAGGATGGACCCAGAAGTGACACCAACATTTTAAAAAGTGGGCTTGTCTAAGTGCAGTAATATTGACAGGTAATTGATCACAACTAGTTATAGATCTCTTTGTTCCTTCTCCAGTCCCCACTTGACTAAGGGCACTCTCATGCATCCAGCCTTCACTGGCCAAGCTTTAAAATGTAAAACAAAATAAAACCTAGACTAAAAGTGGAGAGTGGGTCCGGTGGAACACATTTGAAGGGTGGACGGGGATGATGAGCTGGAGGTGACTCCGGAGTGAGTGTCCAGAGATTTTGGTCACCTGGGGTGGTGGATGAGTAGTTTGGGAGTGAAGCTAGAGTCCAAAGGGAAGGAAGGAGTGGGGAAGCTGGAGGAGGCTGTGGAAGGAATGCCATGGGTTTGTTGCCTTTTAAGGGAAACTTGAGTGTAGTATAGTGTAAGCATGGTGGTCATTAGATGTGCTGATTAAGAGGGTAAATCATAAAAGAAATTATGACTTGGACATGAAATTTAAACAGTGCAAGGACATTTTAATGATAAAAGAAATGCAACACAGATTGTGTTCCCTCTGGGGAGTCTGGAAATCAGAATCCCAGAAGCACTTGTTTGCTTGCAGTGCACTCACGGGTGCCTGTGTAGCTTAGGTTGTGCAAGCTGGTTGTCTAACCAGGAAAATTAACTTGAAAAGCCTTCAATGAAGAGAAAACGATGGCAAAATGTACACAGCAGCATGTTAAAAGTACCGAACACGAACCAGGACTCCTCTCTTTGAAACAACACCAAGTCACCTTTGGAAGGAGCGAGGATGCTGTGCCTCTGGCAGCCAGCCCTTCCCTTCGAGCTCCTTTTCAGAAGCAGACCCTGTTTTATTACTTTCCAAGGGCCCCAAAACCCACCTAGTTGTCCTCCAGGAGGATGTGGGTGAAGTGCTAACCAACATTCCCTGTTCCAGATCTGTCCACCAGGGACAGAACTCATTTCTATTGGAAGACAGGGTAAGAGGCGGTGACCCCCGGGAGCCACTGTCAGGAGCAGCCTGGACTATGGAGCGGCTCATGCTCCTTTTCTTCTTGAGTTTTCCATGCAGCAGGAGCCTGAGACATGGGTATTTAGCCCTGAAGGTGGCTGTGGCTATTCTCTATGCCCAATCTGAAACACAGATAAGTGTAATTTGCAGCGTAACCTCTGACACGGTTGAACTCTTTACATATTCTGTAAAGGACGAACCTGCAGGGCCACCGACTTGGGCTATCTCATCCGTTGTCTTTGGTGAGGAAACACTGACAACTGACTAAGGAATCAGCGAACTCCAGGCCTGCAGAGAGCTTCCAGAGAGGGTGGACAGGAAAAGTAGCAGGGTTGGGGGTGTCCGGGTGGGTGAGCAGGGCCCTGTCCACTCACAGGAACTAGTTGATTGCGAGGTGCTGAGGAGCTGGAGACTCCGGAGAAGAGGGGAGCTGTTATTTCACCTTGGGAAGAGTCTCCTCTTGGCCGGGGCAGCAGATGTCACCCTGGCCTGGATCGAGTTAGAGCTGGAACTCATCTCCAGCCCTCTGCCTCCAGGCTTAGCTGCAGGGCAGTTCAGACCTTGTTCTTTGCGATCAAGATCCATTCTTCCATTCAGGAGAACTTAGGAGTCCAGCACTTGCCAGAATGAGGACATTGGGAATGGAAGCCATTGCTGTCCCCAGGTGCTCCCTGCCCTTAGTCCACTCCATCCTCTCCCCTCCACTGAAGGGCTGGGCCTGCGCTCACATCATTTACAGGTGGCTCCCGAGGCTTGCGGCATTTCGACAACCTGTCCAGGGTCTGTCACAAGGACATGGGAGGGATGAGAATGGAAAACCAGTCTCTTAGACTCAAATTGTCAGAGTTGACCAATGCTCACTGTTTCGTTTCAAACGACATACACATTTTTGTGATTTTTGATTTTTGTCTATGCAAGGAAAATACATATGCTAAACAATAAAAATGCATGCAGTGATGCAGGAACAACTCCGTCAGCTGCTATCCCGTGGTTAGATAATCCTTAAACAGACATTTTGGTTGCAAGAGACAAAATTCTGCTGATCTCCTGAACCATGGATTTTTCTAAAAGTGGCAACAGGACTCTCTCTTTTCACATTTTCCTATTTCACCAGCAGGATCAAAGCTGAGTTTCAAGGTTCATAGCAGTGACTCAAGGCTGCACTGAGGCTTAATTTTTTTTTTTTTTTTGAGGTGGAGTTTCGCTCCTGTTGCCCAGGCTGGAGTGCAATGGCATGATCTTGGCTCACTGCAACCTCTGCCTCCTGGGTTCAGGAATTCTCCTGCCTCAGCCTCCCAAGTAGCTTGGATTACAAGTGCCCACCACCACTCCCGGCTAATTTTTTTTTTTTTGTAGTTTTAGTAGAGATGGGGTTTCACCATGTTGGCCAGGCTGGTCTTGAGCTCCTGACATCAGGTGATCCACCCACCTCAGCCTCCCAAAGTGCTGAGATTACAGGTGTGAGCCTCCAAACCTGGCCCACTCAGGCTTCTTGAATTCACCACTTCCTGGGTCTGTTGCCCGTGTTTCCTCACCAAAGACAATTGATGAGATGCCCCCAATTGGTGGCATTGCCACCACTTGAGCAGGTCCTTCTGAGTCTGAAAATAGTTTGCACTTCCTGTGCTGCAGGTATTGCAGCTCCTACATTAGCCCCTGGAAGGAAACATTTCTCTTGGAAACACCAGTGTTGGGCCGTCCATGTGCTTCCTCCTTGTAGACAACTCGGAAGTGTGTGTGATTTCCAACTTCATGTCCTTGAGCCCCAGACGGCTTCAGAAGGCCATCCCACTGAACGGCGCTCAAGGACGTGCCGGCTTCTTTCTGGGTATCACAGCAGGGTGAGCATTGTGCTCCAGTGACAGCCCATGATGCCCAGCGCTCTGACCTCAGAGAAGAGTTCATCCAATACAATGAGAACCCCAAATGTAAACTCACTTCATTTCGCTCCTTGTTCCAATGGAAAAACCGTGCCTTGGCTCTTGTGCTGCTTCTTGTTTAGAGAGGAACTGAGAACTTCACAAAGATAAGGCATTAATAGGACTGGGTCCTGTGTAGGCACGAAGTGGGGGAGAATTTAGATTTGCAGCTGTGTGCAGCCACTTAGACTAGATATCGGAGTGGCTGGCCTTGGGCTTTAGGGTGGGGACCGCAGGCTGTCTGGCTTGCCCCTGAGATGTCACGGGGCCTAATGGAATTCTGTTACTATTGTTGAATGGCTGAGTAAGAAAGAACAGATGAGGGTGTTGCTTCCCTCTGACACGTAGTGGGGAAAGTGTGTCTCTGCATGTCCAGTGCCCTGCGGCTTGGCCTTGCAGCCCTCACGTGTACACCCGGGGTGCCCGGGACCTCTCCTGCCCCTTCCTAGGTGGGTGGCCTCTGTGGAAGAAAGAGAAGACAAACAGCACCTCCTTGGGCCTTTCTCCACCCTCAGCCTCAGGTTTTCCAAACGCCACTCCTGAATTTTCTGGAGTTTTGTGTCGTTTCCAAACTTGTTTCTAAGAAGAGCTTTGAACTAATGTTGCAGAATGCAAAGTGGAATTCTTCCCAGACACAAACTCTGTTTAACTCTTTGGGTCGAGTGGAGGCGTCAAGTAGCTTGAGACACAGTTGGAAGCACACACTCACTCCTTATCGTGTGGACGTGGGAAAAGTGAGCATTTGGGATCTCCTGCTGGTCTTGCCCACGTCCAGGCACCCATGCAAGCTGCCTCTGCGAGGCCAGCAGGGCCACGGAGCCGGGGCTCGTGGTTCGCTCACCTGTGGGATCTGGGAACACAGCTTCAGCCAGTCGCAGTGCCCCGCAGAGTGACCTGCTGCCTCTCTGGCACGCCCGGGTGCAGAGGATGTCTCTGTCCCTGTAGGCGGCTCCTCTGTATCCCAGCTGGCAGCCTCACTGCCTCAGCCCTATTTTCCTGGGAGCTGTTCCTCCCCTTCCAGGAATCAATTTCTTGGCATGACACTAATGCCTCTCTCCCACCCACAATCTGAATGCCACACAAGACTCTGGGCCCTCAGCCTCCTCTCTGGGCCTGACCGGACAGCTGGCCTTCCAGGTATGGTGGTTTCTCCCTTTAGCTGCCCAGCCCTTCTACCCTGCCTGCAGCCACTCCCAGGAGCTTCTCCTAGGCTCCTGTGAATAAACCAGATGGTTATCTGCCTGGGTGTGGCCCCAAGACCCTATTTCCCCTCCAGGCTCAGGTGACTGAGCCTGTTGGCTTCAGCATACCCTGAATGTGTAGCTGCAGCCTTTGAGCCAACGCTCTTCTTGCTTTTTTTAAGTCTTGTCAACCTTCCCTCTCCATGGCGGTTTCTCCTTAGGGCATTCCCATATCCCGTCCTTTCCCTCCTTCCAGGCCTTTCCAGACTCATAACTCACTCCCATCAGGGAGCAGATGTTGCCCCTTTGCCTTCTGTATAAGAATCCGGGGCAAAAACTACACTGGGTCCCATTCACAGAGGGTCTAGCACAAGGCTTCAGACAGGGGACGTGGTCATCGAGTGGCAGCTCTGTGAGTCAGGTTTCCCAGAGAAAAGGAGTCAACATACCCATAGAGTTTATAGAGATATAAAGATTTATTATAAGGTCTTGACTCATATGTGATCATGGGGGCTGAGAAGTCCCACGACGTGCGTGCAGAAGCTGTGGAACTGGGAAAGCCATGAAACTGAAGGCCTGAGATCCGGAGCACCAGGGGCAGAGGTCAATGTCGGGGAGCGCTGATGCAACCTCCTTCTGCCGTTTGGTTTTGTTCAGGCTCTGAATGGCTTGGGTGAGACCCGCCTGCCTTGGGGAGGATGGGTCGGCTTTACTCAGTGCACCAGTTCAAATGTTAATCTTATGCAGAAGCACCTCACAGCATACCCAGAAATAACATCTCACCAGATATCTGGGCATCCCGTGGCCAGGCAAGGTGACACATAAAACTAACAATCACAGTAGCTTAACTCGAGTGCGGACTTAGTAGTAGTCTCTCCGCTGCAGAAGACACACACCTACTGAGGGCTGCTGTTCATAATGTGTCAGGTACAAAGACAGGGCTGGAACTCTGTATTCAGGGGTTCAAGGAGACAGTGGCAGTAAGTGAAGCCCACAGGGTGAGGAAATAAATATGCTTGGGATTCCGCCACACACATCAGAGCCCATCCTATTTCTTCGCCATTGTTGATGCACGTGGAATGTGCATTTCCAGTGGAAAATCTATACCTCTTGGCTTCAACATTTTAATAAAAGTACTCTGGCTAGTACCCTAATGTTTCATTTTGAAAATAACTCATGTTAGAAAAGTGATCTATTGGTTATGTTTTAAACATGAAAAGATCCAAACACCTCTGGGAACTTCCCAAAGATAAGGTATTAATAGGACTGGATCTTGTGTATGCACGACGTGGGGGAGTATTTAGGTTTGCAGCTGTGTGCAGCCACTTAGCCTAGATATCCGAGCGGCTGGCCTTGGGCTTTAGGGTGGGGACTGCAGGCTCTCTGGCTTGCCCCTGAGATGTCACGGGGCCTAAAGAACAGATGAGGGTGTTCCTTCCCTCTGACACGTAGTGGGGAAAGTGCGTCTCTGCATGTCCAGTGCCCTGTGGCTTGGCCTTACAGCCCTCATGTCTACACCCGGGGTGCCTGGGACCTCCCCTGCGTCTTCCTAGGTGCGTGGCCTCTGTGCGAAGAAAGACGAGACAAACAGCACCGGGTTAGAAACTGGCGAATCACTGTGATGTGTGACCAAGGCACTATGCTGGGGAGAGTCCTCTTAAGACGAGGTGTTCTTTCCCCGAGAGCCCGAGCCCAGGCTGGCGGTCCTCCCCCATGCTGCCGTGGGCACGTGCCTCGCTCCAGAAAGGGCTGTTTCCTTGTAATGGAATTATTCCGACTTAGCCTTTAGACCACACCATCAGCCTTTCCAAAGGCAGGGGTGGTGCCATCTCTAGGTTTATCTTCCTGGCCCCAGCTCATTGTCTGACGCTTGTCACTGTTCGGTTCCCTTGGAGATGAAACAGGCAGAAGTATTAGCCACAGTCAAAGACTGTAACTTCTTTTCAGATGTTCCAGAGGTGGGAACCTCCCTCACCATTTGCCTTGTTGTTCTGATTAAGTGAATACTCTACCAAGCCCATGTGAGGCTCTCTTTTTCATTTCATGAGGATGGAGCTATTTTCCTGCTCATTAAAAAGGCCTTTTGTAGAAAGAAGACAGCTATGGGGAATATTTTTTGTTTGCTGTATCTGTGTTAGGAAGTTAGTATTCGTTAATTATGTGCTACTTTCCCATGTGTTTTGCACAAAAAATTGGTGAACAACAATGGCTTTCTACTTGTACATTCTTGAAACGCGTGCATTAGATTTTTCTATTTCGAACTGAAGGCTAATATTAGGATATCATGTTGACTTATCAAGACGTTAAAACCAAAAGACCTCTGAAGCTTCCAAATCGTGCTTACTGATTTCAGGATTATGCCTCCCGCCCCCAAAATCAACACATATAATTTAAAAGCTGTGGGGGTCACATTAGTCTGATGTCAGAGAGACGCCTGTGGCTTGTGGGTTCCCAGATTCCAGAATTTGGGCTTTCCTCCCAGCGTAGCTCTGCTTGTGATCAATGTTTAAGTCAGAGAGACACTAAGCAAACTTCTAAGAGGAGAGGGGTGAAATTAGCAGCCTCTTTTCAGATGAGTCTACCTGGGGGAGCACATTGTGTCTGGGTGTGCAATTGAGAGCTGTGTGTGTCCACCTGTGCCTGAGCATCCACGTGCACCCGCCGTGGCTGTGGCAGCCCTGCTCATAGGTGGCCGTGTCTGCATCATGGACAGACCCTTTGCTGAAGGCTCCTGGCCCATGGCCGTCTCTGTCATAGAGTGCTGTTCCTTGGGCTGTAGGAGAGCCTTTGCCACCTCACCCCCTTATCCTGTCGACCTGTCACAGCTTTGCCAGCCAAGCCATAGTGACTAAAGCCTTTGGGGTCATGAAAAATAGCCCCACAAATGCCACCCAGTGCTGTCCAAGATCACCCCGCCAGCCTGAGTCCTGGCTTAGCATGGTGGGACCTGGGCCTGATGAGCCCCAGATGAGCTCACAAATGGCAGGTAGTCTTTGAGGGATACTTTGATGTGCATGTGTGTGCATGTGTGTGTGTTGCATGAATGTGAGAGCATGTTCATGCCTGTGTGCATGTGCCTGAGAGTGCACTGTGTTCATGCGTGTGCCGTATGTGAGGGAGCGTATGCATGTGTCTACATATGCAGATGTCTGTATACACAGACGTGTGTGTGCAGGTGCACGTGTGCGTGTGTGTGTGAGAGTGCCCATGTGCCTATGCAGTGCCCAGACACCTTGGCCCTTGCCCTTGTACCGACCTTGCTGTGCTGAGTTCACATCACGGCTCAGACAGTTCACATTCTTATCTCCCTGCATTAATCACGTCAACACATTTCACTTTTGGCTAAGTAGCCATTTCTAGTCAATGTCAAAAAACAAATGTGTGACTTAAAAACTACCTGCTGCCATAAAATGTTCTAGTCGACATTATTCTTTATTTTCTTCAACCTCTCTTTCCTGAAATCTCTGATTTGATGACTCATCTTTTCTGAGCATATTGTATTATTTGATGACAGAGAGAATCAAGTCATTACTGTTCAGTCTCTGTCTTTCCCATGAAGAACTAAACGTCCTTCAAACTGAGAGCAGTAAATGAGACATGGTAAGGAGAGAACTGAATCACAGGCGAGGCCGAGAGAGAGAAAGATACCATTTAATTGCTTAAAACTAACTCAAGCATTTATGTGTGGAGATGAGGCCCCAGGACCTCAGGGGCCACCTGGAAGTGACTGGGATCACTGGCTCTCACTGGATTTCCAAATGTGCGAGGTGCAGGAAGATTGGAGGGGGCAATGTTCCAACTGCCACAAAGGAACAACACTGAATTCCAGAAATCACGATCAGTGAACTTAGCATGGAGAATTATATTTCCAAATCGATTTTTTTGACAGAAAGCTTGTGAGTACTTAACTAAAGAGCTCATGGTCTCTGGAAGCCAACACAGGTGGCCCAAAACAGGTTGAGAGAATCAGTAGATACAGCAGGGGTGCCATTCAGGGCCATCCACGTCAGGGTACAGACCCTGCGCTTGGAGAGGCCGTGGCCCAGGGTAGGACACAGTTGTGTGAGAGCACTGCATCTCGGCGACCTTGACAGGGCCTCAACATTCTCCCCAGTTCAGAGCTCCTGCAGCCATCCTTGACTGGTAGGAATCGACAGTTGGGTTGAAACCTGCTTGCCGTTGCTAATCTAAAGGATTTGCATTGGAAGTGAGGACAGGGTGACTTGCAGGGATGCAGCCATGCCAGGGAAGCCGCAGTAGGGATGGAGATGGCATTAGGGAGAGACACAATGAACAGCTTAGAATGCCCGGCATTGTACTCATTCTATACATTCCTACTCAGCGGGAAGGTGATAATACCTAAGAGAGTCACCACCAGCTTCCCAGGATGTGCTAACACTCTGCATACGTCCCCCACAGTCTGTGAAATGACAGAGTGAGATAGGTGGTCTGTTTCCCATTATAATTGATGAGAAAACAAAAGGTCAAGGACTTTTCTCCACTAGTGTTCAAACTCTGGTCTGTCTGACTCCAAGTTTACAATATCGACATTGATATGCCAGCTCTCCAGCCTGGTAGGGAATTCGGACAAGGGGAGAAAGGTCACACTGTAAAAGTTGTATGCACTAGAAACTGGTGAATCATTGTGGTTTGTGACCAAGGGACTACGCTGGGAGAATCCCCTTAAGTAAGACTAGGTGGATGATGGTAAGCAGGCGCTACGGTGTGGTGAGAGCCCGCAGCCAGGAAAACTGAAGGAGCTGTTATGATCCAGGCACAAACTTTTGGAGATCTGAACAGGGGAGGCGGCCAGGGGAGTGGGAAAGAGACTGTAGATGCCAGGGCCTTTTGCAGAAGCATCCGCAGAACTGTGTGCTGACCCTGTGAAGGGCAGAGACACAGATGGGTTGAGTAAGTTTACTAAAATGTGAGAGGGGAATTGATGTTCCTGACAGCCTGGTAAACTGCCATAACATGAGAAGAGCCCCTTACTTTGTAAAAATTCACTGGCTGAGAGTAACTAATTATTCCAGACAGGAGAGGCAAAGTGAGTAGGACTTTGCTCTTTGATTAGGAGCTCTGTGATTTGAGTCTACCCACATCTTGACTAGTCTTAATTACTTAATTTATAGATTTTTGATGAAATTGAGTTTCTGTGTGAACCCCCACAGTGGAAATCTAAGCTTTCAACTATATATATATTTAGCTTTTTGTCTCTATATTACAGAAGATAACCACTTATTCTTCTCTTTTCCCTTCACTGCAGTTCTGAATGATCTGTTTTTGGTTTATGGCAAATCTGGGTTCTCCTTTGGTCCTTCTCAAGGGGACAGAGGATTAATTCGTGTTCGTAAAGTATTTTGAAATAATGTCAGCAAATGTCCTTCAGGAGCACAGAGTACTTTTTGGAACATTGAAAAATGCTCAATATTCCTGCTTCTCACGTTTTGTTTTGAGAAATAAGAATTCTCGTTGTTGGAGATGGTGGGGGGTTACTTCCCAGAGTCGTGTCATCAAAGAACAATGTTGCTCCTTACAGCTGTTATCCCAAGAGAAGAAAGTGGGAGAGAGTGCTGGCCACGTTTTGTGCCTTACACAAGCCAGTTGATGGTGTCAAAGATGTTGTTGAGTTCTCTGGCCAAAGGATGTTCTGTTTTCTTAAAAAGTTTAGAGCTGCAGAATTGTTGTTATGCTTGATTGGCTAAAAAAAGAGGACACATGGTTGGGGTGGGGAGAAAAGCCGTGTTGTACTGACCCAAAAGAGTTGAATCACTCCTGAGGCAAACAGAGTATAACATGGCAGTCTAAGTAGATAGTTGCATGTAGTGTACACAAACGCAGAGCCCTAGAGTAAGAAAGCTTCAGCCAGATCTTGGATGTATTTCATAGCATGTATTCCTTAAAAGAAAGAATGCAAGAAAGGCTCTAGGTCTTGAAAAAAGAAAGCAAGTTCTCCTTCACATTTGTATTCATGTATTACATTTGTATTCATGCATTACTAGCACAGCAGCAAGTTCTCAGAATAGTGCTGAGATGAAGACTTACCAGAATTATTGAAAAGGGGATTTTTCCAGGCCACTTATAAAACCAACACACCAGATTTGGTTTTGCAGATGTAGGCGTGGGATTGTTCTCTGTCTTCAGAGGTGTAATACGTAAAGGCCATGCCATGCAGTCCTCTTAAGCCAAAGCAAACCTTGATTTCTGAGCAAGAACTTGAAGATTCTATATAATTCATTTTTAGAATACTTTCTCTTGCAATACAAGCATAGAATTGTTTTCGTTTTCAATGGCATAATGGTGACTTTGTGATGTATTCATGAGAATTATGAAGTTTGGAATGTGACTTTTATTTTAAGATTTTTGAGGGAACTCCTAAAGGCATTTCACTTTTGACCTTTATATGAAAGTTGTGGCTGATTGTTGCTGGGTAATAGGCACCAGTGTGCATTTTTGTTGTGTCTGAAAATCTGGATGTGCTGTTCGGCACAGATGGAGTAAACATGCAGCAAACAGGACCGTCAGTGGCTTCCCGTTGGCTCATTGAACACCCAACACTACTGCAGTGTTTTAAAAACTAACTTTAAAGAATCCCAAGCTCTTTCTACATGGCAAACCTCGTCATTTAATCAGGGATTTAGAAATAAAAGTAAGCTCCAAATTAAGAGACGATTGCTAATAGAAACAGAACATATTAATAAGGAAGGTGAGACAGGGAAGGAGTGTCAGGACGGGAGAATCAAAGCGGATTCATATGTGTGGACTTAAAGCAGGAGAAGACAGTGGGCACAGGAGGGAGGGAAGCCAGTCCTCTGGATGCCAGCCCATGCAAGACAGGCCAGCACTGCAGGACGGACTCACTGAAAAGTAGCGGCAAGAAAGTCGGTATTGAGAGTGAAAGAAAATACTGTGAAGTGGGCACTGACAGGTCAGAGAGTGAACAAAAGCAGAGCCTAAAACAGGAAGTCTTGGGAGGGAAAACCTGTCTGAAGGAAATCATGTTACACACTTCTGTGTGGCTGGTTTTTGATGCTAGGAAGATTTCCCCTGCAAGAAAAGACATGCATAATAAGAATTTGGCATATTTTGGTTTCCTCTTATGTGTGTGTGGTCCTCCAACCCCCCAAAAGAATAGATAGAATGTGCCTAGCCCAGGTTCAGGTTATGGGGAACTGAGTTAAAAAATACTTTGCATGGTTCGCACATCCAGGGAACTTACAATCTTCCTGGAAACACAAGTCATTGAAATGATATCACAGTGAAACCAACCTGAGTGTTATGTACATGAGCGCAGAGAATGAGCCCCTATTGCGGGGAGGGAGTGTACTGGGAAGCATCACTGAGAAGGGCATCGGGTGTGGAAATGGACTCCAGAAAACCTCACCTTCCGTGGGGAGCAATGATTATTGATATGTGTATGTCATAAGAGGCAAAAATAGATCAGATATGCAGGAAGACACAGTTGGGAAAGGAAAGGGGGCTGCGGTGTGTATGAAAAAGATTGGTTAGGTAAATCCCCCAAAAGTGCATGCAAAGCCAAGTAGGTAGAAACATAAAAAACAGAAGGATATTGAGAGCACCTGTGGCCTGACTCGAGATGCTGCACATGGAATCGGAAGAGCCTGGGTAAAGCACTCAGTTGTGTTACACAGAGGAGCGAACAGTGACGGTGGGCAGATGAGATGACGTTGAGCCTGAGGGTTTCATCATAGTTCTAGATTATGGGAAGATGTTTTACAAGACAAACATGATTTTTAGTCTGAAAAAGATAAAAAGAAAAGGTGGGATGCCTCTGAGCTGCTGAAACATCTAACGCAGTAAGTATGTGGCCACCATTGTTCCCACAGTCTAGGCAGACGGAGAAGGTGATCCTGTCAAGAGGCGTGGCTGGGAGAGGCGTGGCCATAGTTTGCAAGTCCAAAGAATACACAGAAAATAAAGAGGAGGAAATGCCCAAGAAGAAATCAGCTATGAAATGGATCAGGAGCATATTTGTTAAGCATTTGCTATGTGCAGAAAATGGGTATCCTTGGGGTGGAAAGCCTTTTTAAAAAGGCTTTGAAGTTGGCACATAGTACTTTGTACTATGTGATGATTAGAAGAATGAATGAGCATACCCAAAGGAAAAGTCTAGGAAGTGCTTTCATAAATCACTCTGTGAATACATTTGGAAAAAGCTAGGTGGAAAATAGCATTGGAAGGAAGGAGAAGAAAATATAAAACTCCTGTCAGTGTAGGCACTGTCTCTTGAAACTTACTTAGCCTTTTACGAGATTATCATTTATACCCATCTGCCACAATTACAAGTGGCTCCGTTGCAACTTATTAAGTTCTTCAGAGTTATTGGGAGAAAACACTTTTCTAAATTCATTAACATATATACTTCTCAGTGAAGGGGGCTGGAAATAAACTAGAGTTCCATTTGGGATCATTTTGAAAGAGGAAAAGAGGCTGGGGTCAGTATGAAAGAATTTTTTAAACGCTTTCATCAAAGGCAGTAATGCCAGGATGGGTTACTTAATAATTGTAAAAGATGACATGGGAATGAAGGGAAATGCAGCCAAGGGGAGACTGGGAAATCTGAAGAAAATGAAATTGCTTGTTTGA